AACAATTGTCTCTAATCTACAAAACTAGTTTGTGAATTGTATACCCTGTCAAATTATTGTACACGAACGATTAATTCACGAGTACATAGTTTTCAAGTATCGGTAAATCGTTTTCCGGTCTTTTGCTTGTGTAGCGATTTCCGAAATATTCACAACTCGAAGGGAAAAGAATTTCCCTGTGTCGATCAATTTATTCATTATATAATAGCAGGTTGCCTATGATTATATTTGTATTTTTTATGTTGTGAGCATTGAACTGTTAGTTCAAAGATTTTGCCGATCTTGTGCGATTCAACATGGCAGATGTACAGTGACAACACGTGTATGGACGGTCGGTCGAGCAGTCTGCAACGGACCACAGTCCCTGTGGAGGGACTGTGAACGAATAATGAAATCGCCCGGCATTTTTTCGACAGTTTTTTTTTAATATTTTCGATATTTCATTCACTCCTGACGCCTAAAAGAGTCTAATTTATATTTTACCGTACTCATTGACACCATGGATGTACTAAGAAGTACATCCATGTTGACACCTATTCAAGAGTATCATGTTTATTGTGAATAGCGTGAATGGGTAAGCTTCGTTTCGACAATGGGCTGTTATTTCTGTGAACAATGTTAAATTATTCTTTGAATGCTCAGTTTATTTTTTGAAAACAACTAATTTTTCGATTTAAAAAAAATCATGCCGTTTTCCCCGTCAAAATCAAAGCATAAAGATCTTGCCAGAACATCGGTAAATCTACTACCGCGTTGCGTTCACCACGAGGTCACTGAACCGTCATTAACATATTTAAATGAGCCACATGTACTGAAATAACATGGCGGATATCGCATCGTATTTACATTCGACCGAAATCATTCGTTTACGATGAAACTAAGTTGAATATTACTTCCAATTCATAAAAATTCAACCAATTAATTTTTTGTGCGTATTATAATCATTACTGAATAATAATAAACAATTGCAATACTTGAACCTTATTCAAATTTATAAGTACATGTTATTATGTATTTAATTATGAAAACTGACTAAATTAAATGTGATCTTATTTTTAATTTGAACAGAATTATGATTTATATCGGTAATGACGTTTTCAACCAATATTAATTGTGCAATTGTTAAAATGCCTACCAACACATTTATTGTTTTTGTTTCTGTTGCCCTGAAATAGACATTTGTTAAAAAAAAAATTTAAAATCATGCTTGATTAAAATTCAAAAATAAAAGAGCCATGTAGCCCCTTTCTGTTATCTGTTTCCAAGTTCTTCCAGAGTAAAACTGGTGAAGCCATGTAATTGCCATACATTCATCAACTGTGGGAAAACTTGTATGTTATTGAAAATCTTTATTTTGTTGTCTGTGAAATAATATAATATTTGAAATGGTGTAATAGTGCAAAATATTCTCAAGCAATTGGTTTTCTGGTGGCACTACATTGCGCATTTATGCACAGTCAGTATTCCCATGCGCGATCTCAGCTTACTAAGTGATGATGGTGGTTGAAATGGAAAACTGAATACAAAAATCCAGTAACATCTCAAACGAATTTTCGTCTGCTGTGAATGCATGTTTCGTTACATCAAATAAATAACCCAATTTTATTGAATGTATCCAAAAACATGGTACCAATGATCTGAAATTTCAGGAGTGCTCGCTGAAGGTTTATCAATCCTGCGTATTGTCTTGTTCTTTTTCAATCCTGCATTTCAGTTACTAGAATTTATACTAAAAAAAAATAGTTTCTGAAATTCTTCTAATAATTCGGCCACTCTCAAAAGCAAATATTTTTCCATGGTCGAAATGCAAGAAGAATACAAAACTACTGTGATTGCATAGCGATACCTGTAGCGCTATTGTCAATTAGTTCGCCTGATCAACACAGCGTTATATGCTGATATTGAATCACGGAGAGTAAAATCTTGTGATACTAATCTCTAGAACCACTCAGATTGGTACATATGTTTTACGAACCCACATGTGTATATCTTTAACAATACTCATTTTAAACTTTTTTTTTACAGTGGTGCTGTGAACTGCTTCAATTTTGCAATGCAATTTTTTCTGGGTTCCTACAACATGGAGTGTCAGGGACTTTATTGAAATTTCATAGAATCCTGAATATATCTAGAAGTGAAAATTAAATGGTTTACAGTATTTTATACCCATTAATAATGATTGAAATGCAATAATATCACTGCACTAAAAAGACTTCAAACAATTATTGTTACTTCTCCATTGAAGGTTATGAGCAGACCAACCTTTACTGGCTTTCTTAATTATTACATGTACTTGCTCTGAAAACATAGCTTTTACAATTGTTTAAATTAACAGATGTTGTTCTATGTACAATGA